ATAATCATTTAAATACGTACTAAAACCTTGTAAAAAACGTTGTAAAATAATTTTGTAAATTATTATGATTTAACTAATGCATACCTTATCATTCACTTTCGATTGTTGTGAATGACTCTCTTGTGACGGCTCCTCTGAGTGTCCCATCTTGTTATGTTGTGCCTCCTCTGTTTGAGCAACCTATAAATAAGTTGTAGAAACATTTGTCATCCTATAAATAAGTTGTAAAATCCTTTAAAAAATGTTGTAAACATTACAAAAAACTTTTTTATAAATCTTATTCATTAATGCATACCTTATCATTCACATTCGATCGTTGTGAATCACTTTCTTGAGTTCTCTGTGGAGCCCCATCCATGTTTCTCATCTCTTCATGTTGTTTCTCCTTTTTTTGAGAAACCTATAAATAGTTTAAAATAGGTTGTAAATTTTTTATAGAAACTTTTAAATAAGTTGTAAAATCCTTTAAAAACGTTGTAAATCTTCTAAAGCATACCTTATCATTGACATTCGAGCATTGTGGATCGCTTTCTTCAGTAGCATGTGGAACCTCATCCGTGGCTCCCTCTTCTTGAGCAACCTATAAATTTAAAAGACATTTTAAATCACTACAGATATTCTTTATAAAAACCAATCAGATTCATTTAGTTACATACCTTTTCATCATTCACATTCTCGTGTGAATCTTCATCAGGTGGACTGCATGATTGTTCTCTGGTATCTGTTTGTTTGTTTTCTTGATTGTTGATTGGTATTTCAACCTCTTCTTCATCATCAGAGACAATTATAAACTCTTCTTCAGTCTTTTTGTTCTGTTGTAACACCAAAAATATATTTAAACATAATCAAATTTGACCATCCTATAGATCAAAGATATATTTAAAAAGATATCGTTTTTGTTTCCACTTACAACTCCACTTGACGAAGCTGGGAATTCCTTTTCTTCATCATCCCTGGCATCAGGTGCTTTGATCCCTAAATGTTTCTCCACCACCAACATTCTCTTGTTCAATTCTAAACATGACTTGTAGATCAATTCTAGTGTTTCACTATCAGACATTGATTTCGTTGGTTTTGTCTGATTTACAGTCTCAGACTTTGGTTGCCTTTGTCTAGGCTGATTCACAGGCTTTTGCGTTTTCCATTCTGCAACCTCAATCCATCCTTGAATCCATTGTTGCCTGGTCATCCTATAACCTTGGACTACAAGGTCAAAGACTTCAAACCAGTCCTTGTCTTCTGGATTTGGAGGGAGAACCAAATGAGAATATTGTTCAGGATCGCCAATGATATGTTTAATATCAAACTGCATAAAAAAGAATATGAATTTAAGTTAGAAATGTGATCCACAATTATTTCATAAAGCATTTACTATCTATTTTAAAGGTTTTACAATCTGTATTAAAGCTTGTAAAAACTTTTAAAATGTCTTGTAAAACCTTTAAAAATGTCTTGTAAAAATCTTGCCATTTTTTTAAAACCCTTGTAAACTTCTTAAAATTCTTGTATAACAAAGTAAAACAATTGTAAACCTTATTAGTTTTAAAAAAGTAGTAGAGAAAAAATGTCATACCGTTGCAACCTGTGTAACGTTTGCTATTTCTTTCTTAGTTGGGCATTTTGTTGTCATCCATTGCGAAATCAGTGGACGATTGTCGTTGGGTTCTAGGAACCAACTGCAAACCCAGGAAGCCCACATTGGTTTCTAAATGGGTTCTAGGAACCAACTGCAAACCCAGGAAGCCCACATTGGTTTCTAAACAATTGAGTCGGAGTTATCTTCTTCAAGCAATCCACCAAAGACCCGTAAACAATGCGAGCCCACAGATACTTGCAGAACTCTGTGAAACTACTAGCTCTTACCAGATGTTCTTTCTCTATCTTGTTTACAGGGTTTGAAGCAATTAAGATGCCCTCCACTAGAATCAGAGCACCTAACCTAACCCTCTCATCAGCATCCATCGCATTGCCTTTTGTAGACAAGGTATTAAGGAGATCTTTCAAACTTAAACCATCCTTCATCCATGTATCTTCTTTCTTTCTCTTTTTTCGTCTTGACTGGCTTTGTGATGCATCATCACCAAAAGGCAGCCCTGTAGTAATAACAAACTCCCTCAGAGAAAATCTGAGGGGTTGTTCTCAGAAGACAAACCACAACTCCTCATTGTTAACCATTATTCTTCTCTGAAGAAAGTGATGGACCAGCTGTGATGAGAAATAGATCCCTTCACGTTCCGTAAAATCTATGATTGGTCCCAAGAAAGAATTTTGAATCCGATTGAACTCAGTGGGACTAAGTGAATACTTGACAACATTCAATACAAGTTTCTCTGAAGAATACTTTGATATTCTTTTCAAATTATCCACCTCATTCCCTGGGTCAATCAGTCTTTTTGGGAGAAACAGCCTCTTTGTAGGTTGACTCATTTTTCACCCTGTTGCAGGAAAGATAGAAAAACAATTAAAACATCTCCATCAAAAAGCATTCTCAAAAAAATCAAACCATTTACAACCCCTTTGTAAGCTTTTAAACTGCTTGTAAAACAGCTTTAAGAAGCTTTAAAAACGCATGTAAAATTAAATCATGTAAACGAACAACTCTAGAAATGCAAATAGAGTAGTACATTGCAAACATCATTATCTACTTGGAAGCTTTGTGAAAAGTGAAAAAACGCATGTAAAATTAAATCATGTAAACGAACAACTCTAGAAATGCAAATAGAGTAGTACATTGCAAACATCATTATCTACTTGGAAGCTTTGTGAAAAGTGAAAAGTCTCATCAATACTCAAACACATTCTCAAAGAATCAAACGATTTAGATCCCTTTTGAAAACCATTTAAATTGCTTGTAAAATCGATTGTAAAAGATTTTAAAACAAAGGTAAAATTAATTGAATGTCTAGAGTCCTCAAACACTTGTAGTAACGAATTTTTAAAGTAATTTAACCGTAAAAATCGACTGATGTAACGGAACCCAGAACCCTAGGCAGATGAAATCGAAGAAGCCGAAAAGTCGAGATTGAACCTTATGAAAACGGAGAAGACGAGATTGAACCTTAATTATGAAAACGGAGAAGCCGAGATGGAACCGAAACTGTAGAATCTAAAGCCGTGAAGCTAAGCGAAAACCCTTAATTTCTTCTTCTTGTACTCAACGGAGAAGGAGACTGAGAGAATCGGTTTTTTTTCTCCCCTTCTATTTTTTTTCTCTATCAAATGGGTTTTAAAGTGTTTTAAAGGTTTTTTCTTTTTTATTTCGGCCCAACTATTTACAACTATCTTATTCTTAGTTCGATTAAAAACAGGTTGTAAAACCATTTTAAAACACGTTATAGACTTTTAAAACACACTGTAAATCTTTGAAAAATATATTATAAAACTAAAATTACCTTGCAAAATTTTGAAAAATCTTTTAAAAACTTGAAAATACTTTGTAAAACACTTGTAAATTTAAAGAATCATGAAAATTTTGATAAAAATATAAGATGGTTTTATTTTCATAAGCTTATAAACATTGTAAAACCTTAAAAGTTCTTTCTATATATAATCATATACATTGTAAAAACATTAAAATGGTATAGATGAAGACTTAACATTGTAAAATGTTTAGATAGCTTGTAAAACTTAACATCAAAAGATAAAATGGTATAAATGAAGACTGGATGTTATAGATGCAGGTACATAGAAAAAAAAAACTTAAATTCACAACTAGAGAGTTATACAAAATAAAATTCATGGGAAAATCACTACAGATATTCTCAGCAAAAATTAAAAATTTGTAAAACAGCAACGTTTTCTTCAAAAAGAACAGATCATTTTTTCCGCAACGTTTTCTTCAAAAAGAACAGATCATTTTTTCCCCAGCAATCTTTTCTTCCCAGCTCTTACAATTAGCCCCTGGTCAAAGTAATAAATCAAGAAATATAAGCTTAGTTGTAGGTTTCTAATTTACATGTTAAAACCTGAGAGAAGTCTTACCTAGAAATCTGTTATTTCTATAAAGATGTCAACCGCAAGTTTCTTTCTCATGTCTCTAATTTTTCCTTCTGAAAGTTTCTCATTTGCATTAATATGCATAGCATAGCATTCCATCATCTTCATCATGTACATCCCAGTATCTTCAATCTTTTCAGGTTTTAATGAATACAATCTACAATCTCACTTATCACAAAATTTACCTGTGATATATTGTCCATTACAGATATTTTGAATGCTGAAACATCCATATCTGTTTTGTTGAGGAGCTTGCGCAAAATGTACGGCATCACAACAGAATATGCAACCACATGCATCCTTTTAACATTTTCTGAAACAAATGATGTCGCGTAATCGAGAATGATCAAAGACCTTCTCTCGATATTGATCACTACTGGAACCCAACATTTTCCTTTCAAGCACATAGGAGCATATATGTAATTTGTCTTGCTTCCAATCTCCAGCTTACTTATCTCTTTTGCGACTACAAACTCAGCATACTCATCGTCAATCGCATTTAAGAAAGATGATCCAACAAAAACAACAGTTTTGTTAAGGTACATTTCTGGATGATTTTCCCTTCTAGTTTTGATCAAGTGTAAAGCTGCATCAACATGCTAAGAAAAACACACACAAAAAGGAAAACAAATTACTCATGTTTGCTAGTCTATATGAACTTTAAAATTTACAATGGTTTTTTAAAGTTTTACAAGATTAGAATACTTGAAAGAAAATCATACATACCAATCCTGATATTGGTTTCCCCTGCGTTTCTAGTGTTGTGAACCATTTGGAATCTACTTTGATTCCCCCAACTGTTAGAACCCTACAACAAATATATATATATATATATATATATATATATATATATATATATAAAATTATAAGAACATCCAATGAGTCAATGTAAACATCCAATTAGGCAATGTAAAATCTTTAAAATACGTTGTAAAATCATTTTAAAATACATTGTAAAAGTCAGAGATGGTGTAAAACCTTTAAAATACGTTATGAATATTATTTTGAGTTTTACAAACTTAAAACTCACTTGTTTTTTGTCGACTTCTTCCATTCACATAAACTTTCAAACCTTTTTGTGTCAACTTTTGCAAAGGGGTGAAGTGTTGGGTGCTTCTTCTTCTCTGCCGTGTAAGGTGGCTGAAAATAAATGGAAGGCACTTGACTTCGCTGGCTTCTTCTTGATGGACCATCAGCTTTTGATTTATTATCTACATCTTGTTGACTAGTTTTTAGTGGAACATCATTATCAGCTTTATCCCCTAATTCTTGATCACATGTTCTTGTTCCAAGATCAGCAGCAACTTTGTCAGTATTTTTGCATTTTTTTCTCTGAGGCTGCAAACAAAAAAAACAAAATAACACTTATAAAAACAACTTGTAAAAATTTCAAACAATGCCACGAATACTCAGTTTAAAACAATGCATTCCTTGTGAAGTAATAAAAGACATTACAATTTGTAAAACTTGTAATGTCTTTGCTTATATATGTACAAAAGAAATGCAACAATGCATTCCTTGTGAAATTAGTTTATAAAAACGAACAGATTGTTTTACAAAATTGAATTCTTACCTATTTTCTTGTAGGAATATCATTATAAGAATTATCTCCTTGTTTACGCTTATTTGTCTGCAGGTGAAAAAATTAAAAAAAAAAAGTCCCCTGTAAGTACTTTGAATATATTTCATTATAAACATTTAAAACATATCTCTAAATTGACCTTCATTTTGTAAGAAATCTTCTTTTATAATATTGAATACTAACCTCTTTTCTTTCTCTGACATATCTCTTCTTTCTACAGTACTTCTTACTTTCAGAACTTTTCTTACATGCCTCATTGTTTGTTTCAGAAACTGAAATTCCTTCCTTCTCCTTATCCTGACTATCTTCAGAGATAATATTGAAATTTGGAGTAGAGAAATTTAGAGTAGGGGTTTTATCCTATAAAAGTGTTTATAACCATAGGATTAGTACCAAAAATGATTCTCAGATAATAATGAAATTTGGAGTAGAGAAATTTGGGGTAGGGGTTTTCAAAAAGTTGTTACACTTGTAAGATCTATATAAAATCTTGTTAAAACCCTTGTAAAACCCTTTAAAACACTTTAAAAACCCTTGTAAAATCCTTATAAAACTCTTGTAAAACATATTAACCCTTGTAAAACCGTTTAAAACACTTTAAAACCTCTTGTAAAACCATAGGATTAGTACCAAAAATGATACTCAGATATCAAGGACTTTTTAAACAAAAGTAGATCAATATACCTTTGCTGTAGGTTCAGTTGTATCATCTTCAGAACGAATCTTCTGGCTGTTTTCATCATCTCCAGCATAGCTCCCGTCCTCTGTGTTTGGCTCACGAATGGAATCTTCAAATGTACTAGGACCACATTCATCATCTTCTTTGTTATCACCATCGACATCAATTTCACCATCTCTACTTGGACCACATTCATCACCTTCTCTGCTATCACCATCAACACCAATATCACCATCTATATTGGGACCAGCTTTGTCAGACTGCTACAGAATCAAAACAATCATATTCAGTAAACAAAAAACAATATGTAACAAAAAAGTTTGAATACCTTTGTAAGAACTTTTTAAAAAACCTTGTAAATTATTTAAGATGACTTATAAAAACTTTTTAAAAACATTCTGAATACTTGTAAAAAGCTATCCGAATTTTGATTGAAAAGGATTTAATAAAATTATTCACATACCTCTTCTGTTCTGGCACATGTTTCTTCTTGTATATCAGACTGCAAAAAAAAAGATACAGATATCTTAATATATACTATATACACATGTAACTGACAAAAAAAAATCCCATTTAATTACCTCTTTTTTTTTGCATCTCTCAGTCTCATCTTTTTCAAGACGGCTTTTAAGAACATACTCTATTACTGCAATCCTCCTGTTGAAGTCTTGAAGTAAATTTAGGATCTTGTCGAGTTTCTTGCTGTCATACAAGTTGTTATTCATTGTTTGTTCCCCTATTTCTTGTAATACAGTGAAAATATCAATAAATCCAGCACTCCAATCAGTTGCTTTGAGTCTGTATCCATTTTGAACAAGACGAACAATTTCTTCGAAGTCTATGTCGTCTTCATGCGAACTAGCAACTAAATAGCTATATTCGTACGGGTTTCCAATCACTGTATTAACCTTGACCTGGCAAAAGAAAAGAACTTGTAAAACCTTTAAAAACTCTTGTAAAAATATGATATATGTTGAAAATCAATCTTAAAACTAAGGCAATTAAAAGAGGGGATTCCACACTTACTGAGTTCATTTTTTTGACGACATCGACAACATGAGAAAATCTTGGTGTTTGAGTTGTTTCCCATTTCAAACACAAAGGATACTCAGATCTCGATGTAACACATTCTGTTGCAAACGATGAGCCCAAAGATGGAACTGCGCTGAAGGCCCATAGTAGTATCGCCATTGCAAATCCCTTTACTTCATATGTGCCTCTTGCCCAAGTATTCTCATTTATCCGTTGGATGCTTGTAGCAAGAACCCTATATGCATGCTTGCCCCACGGTTGAGATGTGTAGATTGCGAATTCTGAAGCATGTACCAGTCTAGACAAAGGGATTTTCTCCAACGAACCTGGTGTAAAGAGAAAGGCTTCTGTCAAAGTTACCATACCTAGACTCAGTTTCTCTTCAGCATCCAGCGGATGCAGCTGATTTGGTTCAAACAAACGTTTTTGGAGTTGTTCCAGCGTAAAATGCTCTTTCTGAGTCCAGAAATATGGAGCTTTTGATGGAGCTTTGCCTTTTCGAAGCATTTCACTATCAATCAGGTCACACTGAACACCTGTAAGTGAATACAAATTTGATATTAGAGTTTTATAAAAACTTGTAAAACACATTGTTAAATGTTTTTAAATACATTGTAAAACTTTTAAAACACATTGTAAATTGATTAAAAACTTACAAAAGAAAACTAATTTAGATATACATGTGGTAAGCAAGAATTCTCTCTCTGAGAATCGCATTGGCTGGGAGTCAAATGTGAACCAGAGATTCGTCTCCTTTAAAAGCAACCTTCGCTGCATCAAGAAGTGGAAAATCTTCCCCGAAAAATTAACTCCACTTCTTTTTGCTAGTTCAATAATAGGACCAAGGAAAGAGGCTTTAATTAGATTAAACTGTTCCTCCCCTAGTGCGAGCTCAACTTTTTTGACCAAATGTGTTTCGAAATGTTGAATAACAACAGCTCCAATGTTTGGTTCAAACCCGGGATTATATATACGGGGCGGTAGGTTAAACACATCCAATGAGTCATTGTTAGACATCTGCGTAAAAATCCAGAAAAGGAATAAAGTCAAGAATGTAAAACATTTAAAACGGTTGTAAAATACAGCAAAGGAATAATTCAGCATTTAAGACCTTTTTAAAACGATTGTAAATTACAGCAAATGAATAATTCAGCATTAAGAACGAACCTTTAAAAAATGTTGTAAAATCCACAGTTAACGGTTATAAAATCAAGAAATGGAATAAATCAGAGAGGATATACCCTAAATCAAGCATTAAGAAGCATTTACAAGTTAAGAACGAACCTTTAAAAATGTTGTAAAATCTATAGTTCAAAATCAAGCAGTCAAATCAAGCGTTATCAGTCAATAATGAGATCAAAAAAGCTTCAAAAAGACAAAACTTTCACAGAAACACAGAATCTAACCACAGAATCTAACTTCCAAAAGACAAACCTTTCAAAAAAGCTTCTAAAACATAGTGAGGAATCTAACCTGGAATTGATGTGGGACAGATCGAAATAAAACACAGACGGAGACGGAGACGCTGAGAAATCAAAATCGAACAAAAAGATGTTAACGCCGATCGAAATCGAACAGATCAAATCAAAAACGAACAACGAGATTTTACCACCGATAGAAAGCGAAATCGAAAGGAGATGCCGATTTGATATCGGAATCGAGATATCGGAATCGAGATCGAAAAATCGTCGCCGATCGAAATGAGAGAAAGAGAGAGAATGGTTGAGAGAACCGTGCAGATCTTAGGTTATGAAAGCAAGGGTACTTTGGTCATATTTGAATTAATTAAGGGGTATTTTTAAAAATGGCAAGCAAAAAGGGGCAATGTTAAAAAAAGGGTGTGTGAAACAGGGCATTATTAACAATTTCTCTTAAAATTTTACATATAAAATTACATAAATTTAGTTTTATTTTACCATGCATTTAAACTTACTTCCACTCAAAAACTCATTAATACGTTTAAAATTTTGAAGTATGATCATTTTTAATTTTAATTTATTAAAAGTTGAATGATGTTATTACTACTTCTAAAAATTTCATAGTATTTTTGTTATTTTAACATCTCATATATTTTACATAGTTCGGTTTTTTATTTATTTAAATTTTCTATTAATTATAAGTAGCATAAATATTCACAAAATGAATATTTTAATTTATTTTAATGTAAAATAAATAGTGTTGCTTATGTGGATGATGATGTAGATAGCCTAAATGGAGAGAAGACCTCCCATTATATATATAGATTTTATAACCATTGTTAATCCTTTTAAAACCCCTTGTAAATCTTTTTATAACCATTAAAAATTCTTATAAATTTTTAAACCCCCTTGTAAATCGTTTTAAAACCTATATTAAATCCTTTAAAAAGTCTTCAAAATCTTTAAAAATCCATTGTAAATCCTTTAAGAACCCGTAGAAAATCCTTTTAAAACTTTAATTATTTCTTTAAAAAAGCTCTTGTAAACCCTTTAAAACTCCTGGTAAATCCGTTTAAAACTCTTATAAAATCTTTGAAAACCCCTTATAAAAAAATTTTAAATCCCTTTAAAAATCCTTGTAAATCCATTTCCCGCAAAAACTTTGAGGATCACGTTTTCTGCCAAAAATTTTAGGATCACTTTTCCCGACACAATTTTTTTGATGAGAAATATTTTTGGCGGAAAATTCTTTTGCAAGAAAATTCATGTTACGAGTAAAACATACATAATAGTTTTATCCTTAATATAGACCGCAAGTGCACATGCAATCACAATAGTTTTTAGGGATCGAATCCACAAGAATCAAAGAAACACACAAAAGATTTACAAAGACTTAAACTAAGCTAAGGTAGGACAACATGGAGTTAAATACAAGAACTTAAGGGGTTTTGCATAAACAAAAAAAATATAATAAAATAAGTAAATATAATATAATATATAATAATATAAGAAATAGAGTTTTAGAGAATTCATCAGAGAATATATGAAAACCATGTAAGTTCGGTTATGACTCTAAGATATACTTGAAATCAGATTTTTATTGTAAATTACCCTAATGACGTTTTAGTGATAATTCTATGAAGGGACTATAGAGATCCATAAACCTTAGCTAAGCTTGTTCTAGATAATCCAATCACGCCGTAAGAACTGAATTCAATAGATTCTACAAAACTAATAACTACTCATCGCGAAACTTGTTTAGAAGTTTTGCCTCCCTTTAATAGATTCATCTATTCAACACCATGGCTAGGCTAGACGAATAAGATCATGGGAAATAAGTGAATCATCTTAATTCAATCTAAGGCCTTAAGAAAAATTTAAAGGCAGATGCTAAAGAGAGATCATAACAGGGAAATACACTTAGGTTAAGCATACTTCGATCTCTTTGGTGATTCTCAGCCGTTCCACAAAAGTGCAGATTGACATGGTACCGATCGGTGGAGCGCAATACCGATCGGTGGAACGCAATACCGATGGGTAAAACTCCATGATAAGACTACTTACAAATGACCAATGTATATGTGATCATTATAGAAGAGAGTTCACGAGTTCTAAAGGAGATCTACCAAAGGTTTTAGAAAACTTAAAGCATAAACAAAGAAAGAAGATGAAGAAAGAGAAGAACACCTTATAAAATTGCAAAAGTAAAGCGTACCTCTGCGGCTACAGAATGTAAGAGTATATAGGGATTGGGATGCAACGCTCGAGGAGAGGAAGATGCGGCCCACATGTTTTTCCTCTGGTCGGTGCAAACCTCTACCGAACGGGCGTCCTAATGGGTCTTCTTATGATACTTTTCGGCCCATATCTTCTCTAGAATGCTAACTTCTGTTCCGCAGGTCCAAATTCCTAAAAACACTTACTCCTAAAAGACTCGATAAAACATATAAAACAAAACAATAAAATATGTTAAAAATATGACTTAACACATACCCTAGACTTTAATCTAATCCATTGGAGTATGGTTTCATGATACCGGGAATTCACCTTTCTTTGAAGAATCTTTTCTTCGCAATGTTCTGTAGAACCCTTATATTATGTACTTGTCCATGAGAAGCTTCATCATCTCTTACTCTGAACCCCGTGATCCATAGGAACTTCCGGCATCCCCATTGTCATCTCTTTACTTAGAGTATATACTAGCGTGCGGTCTCACCGAGGGGGTATCGATCATGGGACATACAGACTCTCCTCAAGTTTTCTGAGCAAGACATTCTTCATATGGTTCTTTTCCTCCCCCTTTTCTCACTTCCGAGGGATCGATTTCTTCTTACTTTCTAGGGTATCATTTTATTTTTTTATTCGATCCCTTTCTCTTTTCTTTTGACAGGTTTCTATGAGTTCTTGAAAAATGCACGGGTTTATGCACACTCCTCAGCTCATTTGCTTACTGCTTATTTCTTCTTCTTTTCTTTTCTATTTAAGCATTTTTCGAGTTTAGAAGGAAAGAGAAAGGGGAAGCATACATTTATAAATAATTCCCATGTCTTAATCGGCTTGAATAAGAAATCTCGTCTAATGTATACCAACCCCAAGGTGAGAGATTAAGTCCGGTTAGGTCCTTATAAAGATTAGAGATGATGTCAGATTGACCAGATTTCCAGCATAAAGGGACTTTGGGGAATGTGATTTCATATTTGTTCCAATCTTCTGTTCTAATGAGATCAAATAAAGAATCATAAAAGTGTTAATCCAATTTAGATGATTCATAGAAGAAGTTCATAATTCCAACACATTTTGACTCAATAAAAGAAGTTGATCGATAAAAGAAAAATGACTTAAATATTGAAAAAATAAGACATCAAAAATAAATAATACGTTAGTATTCAAATGTACCCTCCCCAGACTTAAATTTCACCGTCTCGGTAGAAAAATAAATCGAAGAGAAAGGTAACAAAATAGAAAATCCTAAAAATAAAAAATAAAAAGTAAAAGAAAAAAGAGAATACATGGTTTTAGGTCTCCAAAAGATAGATAACTGATCGGCCAAACAGGTTAACGACCAGTTCCAAAATCAAATCTAAATGAACGATATAAAACAAGAGGACTTGGTCGTTTATCCGGAAGTTTTTTCGAACAATCCGCCTATCATGCCATGCTTTAGTTCGTACCTTGTAAATCTTGTTACTCTCGTATGCTTTCAACCGTATTTCATCGAGGCGATGGATCTGCAGCATGCGGTTACGAGTAAAATTACCTATAAAAGTTTTACCTTCTATATAGACCGCAAGTGCACATGCAATCACATTAGTATTTAGGGATAGAATCCACAAGGATGAAAGAAACACACAAAAGACTTGCAAACACTTAAACTAAGCTGGGATAAAAAGGAGTTACGAGAACTCAAGGGGGATTTTCATAAATAAAATAAAATATATATATATATAAGATATAGAGTATTAGAGAATTCATGAGATGATGTATAGTATGCATGCATGATTGGTTATGATTCTAAGTGAACTTGAAATTAGACTTCTACTATAACCTATCATAATGGTGTTTTAGTGATAAAGGATTTCTTGGTATCATAGACCTCCGCAAGTGCTCCGTTCATATGAGGGGAAATCAAATCACGCATTAAGAACATAATATAATAGAACAACATGGAATCACTATCTGTCTTCTGTGAATCACTCTTTGTCTTCTGTGAATCCTCCCCTCAAGAACATGATGACTGGTAAACGAGGCCGGAAGAGAAGAAACGTTCCCAACGCGTCTCTGAGAGCCGTAGGTTCCACCGCTGCAAAAAGAAGACCGACAAATCAACCTGCTCAATACAGCTTCACACCGACGGCGGTCGAAGTTCCACATACTCAGGAGCCCCAAGATCCACGCCGCGTTTTCCCCCAACCTTCAACGTCAGCAGTACATGTTCGGGACTATCCACCTCCTCAACAGCTTTTCTAGAACAGTCAGAGTCAACCACCACAACGTCAACCGTCAGAGGAAGTCTTGAACAGTCGACATCCGACTCCACGGCAAACGCCTCCATAGCGACGACCTCCACAACAAACGTCTCAACAACAAACGCGTCCATAT